TGGTCCAGTGTTAATGCTAATTTCCTCAACATGAAAGGAAAGAGGAGAGGCTTTGGGGATGGTATCTGTTTGTCCATATGGAAAGCCCACTTCCACAGGAATCAAAAGGGAAAAGAATCTGAAACAAAATGCATTCACATTCAGTAACACACATTCTCTATAATCAAATCCTCTCATCTTTCAGTGAACACAAACATTTATGTGTTAAAATAGAGTCCAAAGAAAACAGAGTTCTCTAAATCTGTTGCGTTTATTTTCATTTCTTCAAATATAAGAGTTGGTGAAACTAAAATACCCAAGTAGAAAGGGGGGAAATGGTTTATTTTCGCCCATCATCTCCATTTAAGCAGCTAACCTTAAGAAATTCTGTTCAGGTGACACAGGAAAAAGCTGCACCTGTGTTGCAGTGAAGCAGGCAAGGGGAGTGTAAGAGCATCTAGGTGACCCGATCCAGTCCGCTGCCACCACACAGGTGTATCTATACAACACTGCTCATCATCACTGAGATGACTGAGATACATTTTAAAATCTGGCTAGATTTCTCCATTTTTTTTTTCTGGAATACTAGCATCCAGTTAAAACCACATTCTAAAGTTTGGCACAATAATGTTCTGAGAAAATGCCAATTTTAATTCCAACAGATTACCTATTCTGCAGAAATCTGAGGTCATGAGCAAGATTTTACAGGCACTTATGATGCACACAACAAGAAAGGCTCAGGTGTTGCAGTTCCCCTCCAGATACCACAGCCTGAACATTCTTTGGAAAATAGTGCCCAAAATCCTGTAATGTTGTCACTCACCTCTTATCAGTGATGGATATCATGTTATTACCTACATAATAAACAGCAGCTTCTTCAAAAAAACTTGATAACTATAAAAGAGGAGGAACTCGGTCGGAAGCTGAAGCTATGTTATCAACAATTAGGCCATCACCTTACACTCCTAAGCAGCTCTTCCCCAATGGATCTATTCAAAATGTTTAGCTACAGTAAAATAGGCTTAGAAAGCTACATCCCAAAAATACAACTTGAGTCTGTTCTGTGACAACCCTTAGGGAAGCTAGCCTGTTTCTACAGACAAGCTACAGTGTTTTGGGGAGCCTTCCTACAAACTCCTTCTTCCTTCCAAATACAATGAGACACATCCATTAGGAACCATGCCACCCAGGTCTACTCCATCACATGCCTACTTCATGTGGATTAGTGTGGAGATCCAAGAGTATCTTTACTCATCATTTATAAAGTCATACAGGTGGTAATTRCCTTCTCCTGAAACATAGTTATAAGGTATCTGATGAAGCCCGGATTTACACTTCTTAGGCTTTTCAGGAAAGCCATAGTAGAATTATTCTTCTTTTCCAGCTCGCCAAAGGGGGAACACATGGGAATTTGCAAAAGCACAAACATGAAACAATCATCCAATGCCCATTTTTATTTCCGCTGTGACCCTTACACCACTGGAAAGAAGGGGAAAAAAAATAACATATCTGAGCAATTTAAACAGAGAGCATGGGGCCATTCACAAAATGCAATTTATACTACTGTTGTTTGGGTTTTGAAGGCATAGTTACACACTTGCACAAGCACCAAAGTCAAGACTGCATCAATTAATGAGCCCTTGCTGCTCATTTTGTCCTCTACTCTCAAGGTCACAATTCTCCCAAACTGTCCTCGTTCAGCTACTTACAGAGGTAAACTTATCTTTCTACTTTTATTGTTTTTAAGGGGAAAAGGATTGAAGGAAGATAAAAGGAGACAAGATTAGGTTCTTCCTGAAGCGGTTTCAGCAGTTCAATAAATCAAATACATCAGAAAGTGATAAACTATAAGGTTTGGGAAGAAAAAATTTCTGTCCCCTGCTGTTTCTTCAACTATTTTCATCACCAGTGAAAGCAGACCAAAACAAAATACTTGTATTTAATCACATTCAGTTCTCTTTCCCATCCCTCTACCTTTCCCACACTTCATTTTTCTACCTCGAGCATTATACAAAGTAACCATACTTGAGGAACAAAAACATACAAAAATCTCATGTGGTCACTATGAATTTCAGAACTATTTACTGCATTTTAACATATGTACATCAACCTTACTGTTTTAGAGGATTGATTTAAACTTTCCTCCACAGCAGCATCTTGTCCTATTCAGTTAATCTTTTTAATACATTTTAAAGCATATTAACCAGCATTTGAACAGCCTATAACCTTTAAAGCATTAGAAGGATGTTGAGAGAATATGTTTTGGAAGTACAAAAATGGCTGATGGACAAAGAAAGAAGACATCATTTCATTTCACTTTTCCACAGGTCTAGAAGTAGATGCATCCTATCACGAGGCTAGAAATGAAATCATGAGACTAGAAAGTCTGTGATCTGAGTTTTCCTAAAATCTTATTAAAATTATTCACTACAGAAGTACGTTACCCCTCTTTCCCCGCCCCCCCATTCACCAGATTGTCACAGGACCGGTAGTAGCTTTACCATTACAGCGAGTCCACACAGACCACCTGCACGAGGAACCTACCTCTCCTGCATCTCCATATTAAGTTCAGCATTTGTATGTTTTATAAACCCTACAATTTGAATAAGCTTTATAATTTTGTGTAGGCAATGGTACAATGTCACATTTAAACAGCTTTAATTTACAAATATATGAGGATGGATTTACATTAAAAGTGCAGAAGAAAACATATTTTAATTATAATAGGCAGAAGAATTCAATAGTGAAATTCAACACTAATTTTTAAATTCATAATTTTATATCCTTGAAGAAAAATCTCTTACATAAAGCCTAGATATTTACTAGATATCAAGTCCATGAAATATGCAAGGGTATTTCAGCAGATCTTGTGTTTTTGCAGGTTACTCTTTATCCTTCATCTCAATCAACTAATGTTGTTTATTTATATGTTTTTCTTTTTCCATGAAAAGTCTCATAACAGCTGAATTATGAGATCAGAGGCAACTCAGCACCCATTTTTCAGCTCAAAGCTGAAGATCCTAAAGATTGTGTAATGTTACTAAGCTTATATGAGCATGAAAAAATTAACTGCTATCCTAAACTTGCGTGCACAGGGGTCTAATGTGTTAATTCATACAGTTAAAGAAGTGCTAGAATTTCAAGACCTGCTTCAGCTTGAGGAGTTTTCTTTTATAATTTATTGCTAAAAAGACCCCACAGCAAAGAACCATAGAAAAAGAGTAAAAAAGGTAAAAATTTCAAAGTAACTTTTCCAAGTGTTCTTTAGTCTGCAGATAATGAATGCCAACATGCATTTTTTCATTTTCAACAGACAAGACAGCTCTGCTCTGTGTCTTTTTGGTCTCAACAGGAGATTTTCTTAATATCCCCTCAAAGGAAAGGGGGAGGGGAGAGAGGGTACATCAGCACTGTCTGCTGTTGCTGAATCCCTTGATCATAATGGCTCTTGTTAGCTACATCCAAAAAGATTTTACCAAGACAACAAGTAATTGCATTTATAAATTGTGCATATTTACTACATCTCTCCAACTAAAATAAAACTGTAATATCAAAATCCACATTGGAGATAGCAGTAGGAAGAGGGAGCGGGGAGAGATGGTGAGGGAAATGCAACAGGAATCACAACATCGTAATTCAGCAGTTCCTTAAAACCCCCAGGCTCCTTCCATGGTCAGTCAAAGGACATGAACTCCCGAATCACTCTTGAGAGGCTCCGTTACACTTTAACTGTCCACAAACATATATTTGTTAATTTTTAAGTTATTCATAAAGGACAAAGGGACTGACAATGCCTTTTTCTTTTTTTTTTTTTTTTCTCTCTCTCCATTCTCTCCTCTCTCCCTTCTCTCAAAATAATTTAACTGCCATGCAAGCCATGGTAACAATATACACTGCCATATCTGTAAGAATGACAAAATAAATGAAAGTGCCAGAAAATATTACAGAGTGGCTACAGAGCCTGACATCCTATCAGCAGCTGGTACTTCCAATACAGATATAAAACTAACAAGCAATGAAGGCTAATAAATATAAATTTATTTCAGCAAGACAACAGACTTGAGTTCCGGCACACCGATTTCTTGTACAGCACAAGTACTGGAATCAAGTCTCCTTCCCGCTTTAAACATTAAGATCATTTAGGGAYTTCACTAGCATCTGACATCTGTAATGTCTTGCCATCAGCCTCATAACAAACACACATACTGCTTCATTCAGAAGCAAAGGAGGGAGTGATTACAGGATGTACTAAATGCACACTCAAATGCAATCACTTAGTAATAGGTGTCTCCTTGCTTTCCTAAAGCAATCCTGCACCTGAGAATGCCCTTCCCAATGACAGTGTTTAGAGGCCACCTTACCCATATCCACGTTTGCTCATCTATCTCCTCCTTCAGTTTATTAGGAACACACGGACGCACTTCACAGGTTAAGTGTAACAAATTACTAATGTTTACAAAGTGCAAGAGGTAATTCCCCTCCATTAGAGGCCAGCAGAACTAGGCAAAGACATTAGAGCGCAAGAAAGAGCAGAAGCACAACAGGAATCACCCACATGCTTAAGGAACAGCACCTACTGTTAGAAAGTTACTTTACCTTTGTTAACCTTATAGAGTTAAATATGTACCTATACAGTTTTCAAACAAACAACCAAAAAATTCCACATACGAACCACCCACAAATACCTTAAAAAAATAGTTATTCATAAAGAGTTGTAATACAACTACGCACACTCTACATCTGCCAAAGCTACTAAAATATTTAGACTTTCTCCTCAAGACAGAAGCTAAGATARCAATTACTAAATAATGCTGAAGGCTCAATTTCATATGCTTCCCTTGGTATTCAAGCAGCAAATTTACTGGTAGCACACTTGGTTTATTCCATTTTACACATCTTAACACTTATGAGACAAATATTAAGACACTTATGAGACAAGGCTATTAAGCAGAGAAGCCAGACAGTGTCCATTAATTGAAAAAAACTCAAAACTGTCTGGCTTCTCTGCTTAATAGCCTTACCTGTGCAGAAAATTTACGCTAACCTCCCTCCTATTTTAAAGTATCAACTTGCTTTTCTGTTGGGATGACACCAAAAGAAATTTGGGGTSGTTCTTTTCAAATGATGAGAGCAACTCCATCATATGCGAGCAGAAAGCTGTGGAAATACAGAGACAGATTTCTTCTCTAGAAATCAGCCGACTACGACTATGTTAGCTCGTGTTTCATATTACACAAGAGAAAATAAACTGAAAGGTCAGTTGCACAGTTACAGCACTGCCCTTTTCCAAGGTAATCAGCAGAGCATGTAGCAGAGACRTGAACACAAGCGTGACTGGAAAGACAGTGGCTGATAAAGAGGCTCCTGTGCCAGGAGCGCGGGGGACAAAACGCCGCCCAGTGCCCGGTGCCGGCTGAGGAGCGCGGCACGCTCCACGACGGCCTTCAATAACTCTGATTTATGGCTTTAATTTGAAATCGCRTTCTTGTTAAACATTTGGGCTTTCATATTGCCAAAAGACACTAGCATATGTAATACTGAACATTAATCACCTACCCAGGTAAGCTACAGAAGCAATATTGTTATTAATTTGTTTGTAATGGGTAGACAATACAGTCATTAGAATTAATTTATCTGGTTTACTGAAGCGTTTTTGCTGTAGGTACACAATTCCTTCTTGTTAGTAAGATTTGCTTCAGAACTACAGGGTAGACTCCCTCCATTCAGAACCAGTTTATTTCTCCTCTCAGTAAAAGGTATTCATCACTAGAATCATCTAGAAAAAGGATTCTACTAACCATTAAAACACACTTTTGAGATCTGACTGAAATTTAGAGGTTTCTAATGTTTTATTTACAAGAATTATTTTTAATGAAGCTGTAAATAACAGCATATCAATTCCCATTTGATTCCACTGTCAGCTAACAGACTTTCTTCGTATTAATAGATAACARGGTCAAGTCTGGAAAAAAGCAGATTCAGTGATTCCCACAACACCACTACTGACAGCTACAAAGTTGGAATCAAAACACTAACTGAAACCAATAGCTATGCTGAAGGCTTCAGGAAAGGAAGAGTTTAAAAAATAAGAAGCTTCTTGGTGGGCAAGTGCTATAATATCAGGTCTTGGTCAATCTGGAAGTGTCATTCTGTATCATTTTTAAAAGCAAATACTTGCAGGGTAAGAATCAGCACATATGCCTCCTATAGGCTGACAGAGGTCTGCACATAGTCTAGGAAGTCTGTACTAACTTGTCACTATTTCATTTAATTTGAGTTGCCCTAAAGGAAAAAAAAAAAAGTTATTTGTAATGTACTTTTTGCTAGCTAGCTTGCCACAGCAATAAGCATAAGCAACCATCTGTTTCTTCCCAAATTTGGATTCCAAGTATACTGCATCAGCTTGGCTTCTGCGTTCTTAGTGATGCTGCAAGTAACTGTAATTGGCATAACGTAGCTCAACATAATGCTAAGCAAGATTTATCTTTCTTCATTAACGCTCAAGAAGTTAAGAATCAAGAGATTTTTATTGGCTGCCAAACAGGAGAAAGCTTTTCTGTCAGAATTCATTCTTATTTCAAATAAAATCACACCTGATATTTCCAATTACACTAGCCACTTTACATAGCCTCTTCAGAGGGCACATTATGCAATAATCTTCTTTATTTTGCATTCCCTAAGAGAAATTGTGCAGCTACTCTAGCTACAGCTTCAACAGGAATTTCTATGATAAATCCTATCTCACCTCCTTCTGTGTTCCTAAAATTAAGAAAAAAATCTGCTTGTTGGGCTCTTACAACCAAGTCCACACTACAGAATCACAGAATGGTTGGGGTTGGAAGGGATCTCTAGACATCATCTGTGTTTCAATTTAAACCCATTGCCCCTGTCCTTTTACTGGCAAGAGTTCCTATTACTTGGAATAGTTTGGCCCCTTCCTCCCTACATTCTCCCCTCAGGTATTTGTGCATGTTGATAAGATCCCCTCTCAACCTTCTCTTCTCCAGGGAAAACAGACCCAACTCACTCTTTGTTTGAGTTATGGCAGAAACAAACAGAAATCCTTGCATAAATCCTCCATAAAACAAACACTCCCAGTTACAGGTCTGTCTCCTGGTCAAATTTACAGATTTGACTTCCATCATGAGAGGCTGTCAAAAGAGATAGTTAGGGAAAGATTTCCACATCAATATCTCTGTTCTGCACTACAGCATTCTGCCATCCTATAATATAGTTTTCATCTTATCTAGTGTAACCACAAGCCTGTGTTATTTCACTTAAAGTGAAATAATCCTTTAAATCCTTTCTAACCTCAGTGTTAATGCTGACAATGAGTCCAAATTCATTGTATACAATATTAAGTAGTCTTCATTAAGTGTTGCTTTATGTCCTTTACTGTTGTTAACAGAACAGCCAATGCACCTACGGCAGATTCTTTGTATTATTCAGTGTTTCTATGCCTACATTAAATGTCTGGGTATTCATCTACCCGCAAAATAAATGTCCTGCTTCTTTGCCTCATACACAAGCACATTCCTGATGCAGTATTTTTCTAGCCTTTAAATATTCATCAACCACTTTTAGATAAACTTTCTGTATTTTATTGTAACAAACTAAAATTCTCAAAACTTAGAGGGGGCAGAAGAAGCATATACATTATTTTACCTACGAAGAATACCTACAAAAATATTAAAAAGTGGAAAAGAGAGGTATACTTCATTTTCTTTTGTTTCTGACCACTGTGCCAATTTGATCAGTCTTCATTCGTTTGTCCAATAAATATTTTACACTTTGGCTTAGAGGCTCTATGGAGCTGTTCATATTGACTGCATATTCAATTAACAAGGTAAATCTAATCTGCTGGCCTGTAAAGCCAATGGAAAGAGACTCTTCCAGAACAGAGTACTAAGGAAGAAGATGTCACCTCCAGTAACTAGAAAATAAAATGAACATAGAGGTACTGAGAAGATGGAAGCAGGAGGAAAACAGAGCCAACTCACCTTCCAAATTATTCATACCAGCTTTAGGCACTTTAGCAGAAGCATCACGCTCAGCTTCACAGCACAAATCTGTCTAAATTTAATTACAGCTCCAGTTTCACAGTGGACAGGATCAACAAGAGAAGCACTCTTAAATGTTCATACATGCCTCAATGGAGAAAGTTTATAACTAATAATTTGAAGCAGAATTAGCACCAGTGTGCTTAAGAAATCTCAGTAACTACCACCAGATAACAGCTTATTTCCAATGATGATGAACAATCCAAAACCATGTATTCCCAGCTCCTACTTTGAATAATCGCATGTAAAGATACATGCTTCATCACAGCCAAACCTTTTCAAAGGTGCCCTCTAGAAGAGCACCTTTTGCCTGGATGTTTTCTGGACATTAGTGAGTGAGTACAAGGCAAAATGTATGGCCACTAACAGATACACACAGTCATCCCTAAGACTAAACAGCAGGGGTTCTCCAAGTTATCACGCTTAAACTCAGAAAAGAGAGGAGGCTGGATCAATTCTTCTGAAGCACTAAGCTGCTCTCCTTCACACAACAACCCACTCTCTTAGTGGAGCTACATGCATCATTCCCTGTCAGAAACATACTAAGCATTTCTTAATCTTAATCACAGAGCAATCACTAATCAGCAATTGTTGGACCTATCCCAATCATAAATCCATCTTCACAGATTTTAAGTTCATAACAACACACAATATGCTTCCAAGACATCTGACTCCTGACTACCATATTTTTACATTAGCAAGTCTACCCTGATAATGTAGCCACTACGTGGCTTCCAAGCATATTTTAGCCCTAGGTCTATAAAGCAATTTGTCTATCAGAGCATTAGAAAAGTTATAATTCAAGTTTCAAGTTGATATAATTAAAGAAAAGATCAAAGCAAAAAGAGAGGAAGAACAATAATACTGCACTAACAATTCATGACACAAATCATCCACCATAAGCACTACCCACAATGAGAACTGATCAGACACTTCAGATGCATAAAAACCCAATGTAAGCACAAGTGGTGAGGTAGCTTGCAGCACAGGTCAGGACAGGACACTTGTGAAAACTGAGGAGGGGGTGGAAGTGAGGAGAGGATGAGGAATCACGAGCTAGGAAAGCCTAGGACTGCATGTGCAGGGGGATTGGGCTAGATGATCTCTAAAGGTTCCTTTCAACCTTAAGGATTCTGTGATCCTGATATGATGCACCAGCTAATCAACAAGCAGAGATCTCCTTTTAGAAAGTAAAACTGAGAAAGTCTCAGAGATCATGGAAGCATTGACATTAGGCTAGCACTAGGAGCTGAGAAATACCAGGTGAACAGTTACCTGAGGAGACAGGAGAGAACCGCTTTTAGGATTTCATACTAATCTCATCTGCTTATAACACAATACACATCTCCTAAAATAAGTACCAAAAATATAAAGGAATCCTCCATAGCACAATTTCTTACAGGACTTTTGTCTTTATTTATATAGATGCTTTTATATAACAAAAGTTAGTATTTTTAAACCATTTTTTTATTTGAGATGAAGTGAGATGGATGAAGTTAATAAACAGGTTGAGTAATGTAATAACAGTCTATCAAATTTTTAAGACTTCCTTTTTAGTAAGTCATCATCTGCATTATAACATTGCTATGATTTTCTATGGGTCTTTTTTTCCCCTCTTTATAAGAGATTACATTCATCAGTTTTCTAAATGACTGACTAGCTCAAAAGTGGTCTTTTAATGTGCCTGTCTATCTTTGAAGCACAAAGGAGCAAAAGCATTACATTATATTCCTGGTAGGAAAACATATATATGTGTGTGTGTATGTGTATATATATATATATATATATATATATATACACGCACAAGATTACATACAAGTCCAAATATTTGCATTAAATGTATACTAGATACAACATCCAACAATGTCCCTCCTCTACCCCTCTCCCACCTGAAATAGGTACAACTACTCACAAAAGCCGTACCTCTCTTTCTGGAATTAAGCCAAGGAAAATACTGCTTGCTCCAGTGCTGAGGCGGGAGAGCTTCCAAAGCAAAGGCTTCTAACCGAAGCCAGACAGGACAACAGACTTCAACCCTACATGTCTCCTCCTTATCTAAGGACAACTTGCCACACACTAGGAATAATACAAATGGAGAAAATTCATGAAACAAAAGTTTCAATATTACTTCATTTTACTTACTATCTTTTATTTAAGAGAACAAGTATTAGCTAGATAGAAAAAAAAAATGACTAGGATAATTAAGCACTGAAACAGGATCTAGAGAGGTTGCAGAATAAACCTGGCAAGCTTAAGGCTCAAATGGACAGACTCCTAAGCGAACTGGTCTGAATTCAACGTTGACTTGGTTCTGAACTGGAAGCTGTGACTTCAGTAAAATCCCACTGTCCCTGCTCTATGAAAATCTTACGCTTACCAACTCTTGTAGCTAGTTCACTCTGCTTAAAAAACTAGGATGTGACAAGATATGTAAAAACAGTGTAAATATAATAGTATAGCTATAAACACTACAAACACTGTAAATGCCAAAACTCTCTAAAATATCTTTAGTTATTGGCAATTACATATACACCTCCTTTCAGCTAGTATTCATTTTGTAAATGTACTTGTGTACATAAAGAAATTCCACATTCCTAAAACAATCAAAAAATACAAACTTAACCAATCAATTTCTTCCTTAAAACACGTTTTGATATTCATGCTTTTAGCAATTTTCCTCAAATACTTTACCATATGAGTTTTTTTCCCATATGATTTGAAACTCTGCTAAAGTAGTTACCAAAGTCTAAAAGGCAAACTTTTGCATCAACACTATCTTAAAATGTTACTRTAACCATAGTATCAATATATTGACATGAGCTGGTATACCTACCTAGTGATTTCCATTTTAATTTCTCACATGCAAGTTAGAAAAATAAGGCTAATATATATCTTGCTATTGCTCTATGTGCATTATGTATTATTTCAAATATTCAAATACTATTTAAATTCAAAGCATTCTGGAAATATGAACCGACTGGATGTTGACAGAAATATTACACTTTTCAGACTAATGTCTAAAACGCTATGGGAAAAAAAAAAAAAAATGGATGCAAGATTGTATTCAGAATTGGGGGAAATCACCCAAAGCTATATATTTTTATTCTTTTTCCTTTCTAATCTTTTCAACAGAAGACTATCTTTCTTCACATACAGCTAGTCAGAGCAAGAGAAGATCTGTACCCCTCCAGCTGCCCGTAACAGAGGGGCCAGCACCAGCTCTCCACGAGGTGACAGTACCGCGTATCCCACTTGAACAGGCCGGCAGGATTGCCCCTTAACAACACTCCACCTCTGCAGGACAGGGCACCCTTATTTGCCACCTCACGCTGAACTCAGCGGAAACTGGAAGCCACCACACGATACCCAGGGTCTAACGTGAGGTATGTTGCCCCGGGTGGCTGCAATGGCATCCTCAGGGCAGCACCTCTCTGGCACGTATCCAAATGGAACAGGGGGCAGGGCCTGGCTCGCCTTTCTGCCACCCTTTGGCAATGCCAAATCCACTGCACCAGCCCTAATTCTATATGGCTGGACTTACAGAAGTGATATATAGTAGCATTTCAGGCTGAACTTAYGGAAGCAAGGGGAGGGAAAGCCATTTAAAAAGGCCACTAGACTGGAGGCTGTAAATGATTTATTCCCAAATTTCCAATAAATCGTAATTTTATTTGTAGCTTTTAACAACGTATCCATTTCTATTTAGGGGTAGTAGTGTTTAACGTGTCTTTTTGCCTTTGCAGGCCTCTCTTGAGAAAAAATACAAGTCGGCCTCTCTTCAGAATCAGGGAAGAAACTGGGCAAGTAGGTTAAGTAGCTACACTGCAATTGCTAAAAATAGTTTAAAACTTATGCAAACTCATGCTGCAAAAGTCTAAAAGCACATGCCATTTAAAATTCTCTTATACCGTGGATTCTTGTATTTTATCATTCATTTACTCTAAGAAAAATTCTTAGCTATTATTCTCACAGTTTTCTGAGCTAACTTTAATGCCTTTTCTTTAAAGCTTTGCACATTAAATGAAGAATAACACTTCTATTAAAAGTGAAGTCAGTGCAGACTATCCATAGATCCTGCGCTGTTACAAATCCCTAACTTAGGCATGAGGTGCTATTCCAAAACACCATGCTGCATTATACATTTTTATTTGATTATATGTCAGAAAAACCACATCCAAAAAAAGACCAGGCAGATAAAAGAATGTAAGAGGGCTATTTTCACTAGTGATCTCTTAGCAAAGGCCAGACTCCTAAGCCCAGGGCAGAACTATAGTCTCCTCCCTAATTCCAAGGCACCACATGGCAGGAGCAATCAACAACTCATACCTGCCACACAGAGTCACAGGAGTAAGAAGTTCAACTGAGGTAACCAGCACATGAAATAGAGATGCTGTAATGGGCATAAGGCAAGAAATAATAAGGAAA